AAGTTTTTGCTGGGTTTATTTAAAAACAGATTTTATTTTAGAAAGTAATACATATTTTGAAATTGTGGAAATTATCGAAGGTCAAAATTTAACAAATCAAGAGAAATGTTTTTTTTTTATTTCACCCGACAAAAAAACAAGCCAAGTCCGACAATAGATTGTTATATATGTTATATACAATTTCAAAGTCCTATATGTATACCCTCTTCTCAGATCATATTCACTCATAAATCTACAAAATCGTATTTTCTGACCTAAATCGACGTGTCGCGAGCTCTAAATGACCTTTAAAAAATCTATAAAAATAGGCAATAATATTTTTCATAAAAATTAATAAAATTAAGGGGTAGGGTCTTGAAATTTCCAAAAAAAACATTTTCGATGGGCACCCTAATATGCATGTATATAAAATAACATAAATAAATGTACATTAGGGTGCCTCACCAAAAAATAATTGCGGTTCTTCCACCGGAATTATAAAACTCCTTATATTTGACCAACTTCGCTCAAATATTTCGGACAAATACTAAAATTTACTCTTGCTCGACTTGGAAATGCTTCCAAAAATTTTATTACTCTGATGCCGTTGATGAAATTTTTAAACACTCTTGGGCAGACCTTGTAAGCTTAAATACTTCTATCCTCTGCGGTGATTTTTTTTAATATTTTCAAGAACAAGTTTTATTTATAAAACCTCGATTTTTGGAGGTATTTTCAAATCGGTTCACCACACGCAAATCCTTATATTTTTCCTAAAACTTTTCGTCAGAAATTTTAAAATATAGTAAATCTTATAATTCCCAAAATTTTTGGCGGAAATTTTAAAATATAATAAATTGTATAATTCCAATGGAAAAACTGTACTGATTTTTTTTTATGTATGGAGAATGATGTAGCCTAATGTTTATGCAAATTTCTTTCGACTGTTCAAACCACACTGTTGGTTTAGCTTCAAATAAATTAAATGTTTTTCAATTTTAGAGATTCAACTTATCGTTCGACACTCACTGGTGTCATTACGAAAGCACTTAATGAATTTTTTGATTATTCCAATATTCGAAGCAGTAAAGGAAGTTTATTCTTCGCAATTTACCAGAAAACAATACAATACAATAACAATACTTAGTTGTACAAGTAAATAAAAGGAATTGAATAGAAACGGTTGTAGGCACATTGGATGGTACTCCATATATTAATGAAGGGTATACTTAAATACTTTTGTTTTTAAAGTGCCAGTTTGGATACTAAATACCCATACAAGAACGTGTTATTTATTGATATCTAAATACTAAATTGGAGAACGGTGAAAGTAGTCTTTCTTACTTGGATCGCAGATCAATTAGCTTAACCTCTTTCCACTTAAAGGAAATCGAAAAGCTGATTGATGTTTATGTGAAAGCTAGAATAGATCACAATCGAATCGGGAACACCCACATATGCCTATAGCAAGGGTAAGTCTATTGAAACAGCTTGGCACAGGGTGGTTGGTCAAATTGAAAAATGCTTAAATGAAGGAGTATATGCAATGGCATATTGCTCGACACAGCGTGCGCTTTCAATAAAATCTCAACCAATGCTTTATTAGAAGGGGGATCAACACAGCACTAAAAACGGAATACTCGAATTGCTAGGTTGCCGCTTGGTCTCGGGCCGAAACAAATCAACATAGGGACTCTACAAAGGGCATCCTACCTCCCTCCTTTAGCGTTAAGCAATCAAAATAGTTCTTAAAACGTTTGAAGTCCAACCGATAAAAGGAATAAATTTCAAAAGAAAAATATATATATATCATCTTAACTCTAAGGCGATATTGAGCACGCACCTTAATCTAAATACGGCAAGCAAAGGTGTGCCATAAAGTAAAAGATATTTTCTTAAAACGCATTTTCTTGACTTTCCTTTAATTGATAGGCCCCAAAATCGAGGTAATACTATATAACAACAAATATGCATTAAAGTATCTGGTAATAACATTTTATTCTGCTACCCACTCTAAACCTTGAATCACAGCCAACATTTTCCTACATATGCACATTAGGCTGTACCGGAAAAGAGTGTATATATGTGTGAGTAAAAGAAATTTTTCTAAAGCAATTTAGAGAAAAAATATATTTTTTTATGAACTTAGGGCTTTTTACGTTTTTACATTTCTCGTCATATCTTCGGCATTTACAGTTGCCTTTTAAAATATGATATATCGATGTTTTTGTCTCGAGAACAAAATTTTTATTTTTTGGTTTTGACTAAATAGTGAGCTAAGCTTTCATAAAAAATAATAAACAAAGCAAAATAGCCAAAAAGGTTTCTAATATGTCGCCTCCCCATTTATTTGCTTAAACAGTACATATTTTTATACAAACCTTTTACAGGTAAATATTGTGAAAATTTTAACAACTCTATATGTATGTAAATATGTACTACCTATGCACATTATCCACACCTGATTCTTATTGTTTACACACTCGCCGCTTCACCAATCAGTTAATTGCTCGTTTGCCGAAGTCGAGTAACGAGATTTGGAGAGTTTTCGAATTGAAGCACTTCAAGCCCGCCCGCACACACACCTACACAGATGCACCCACAAGCCGAAATAAAAATCAAAAGTAAATCTACAGGTACAAATGATATTTGCATTGGAGCATGAGCGTGTGTGTATGTGTGTAAGTAAGAGTATATTTGCATATGGCATAGCAAATTGTTTGCTTTACCAGTCTTTTTCTGCATGAAATATACATACACACACACGCACATGAAAAGTAAATCAATGAAAAAAAAAAAAAACAAAACGAAAAAATATTGAATAAACATATGGCATAAAAGCTGTGCGGCAAGCTGTCATTGGTTGTACTTGAAAGTCGTTCAATAGCAATTGAATGGTTTTAAGAGCTTTTCACTTGAAAATAAAAAAAAAAAAACAATAAATAGTAAATGCAATATGTACTCGTATAGACGTGTGAATGGCTTTATGCATTATGTCGGTCTAGGCTAAAATGAATGCTATTTCATTCGTACGTATGTATGTATGTATGTACTTTGAATTTAATTTTTTCATTGAAAATTGGAAGTAAAGCTATGTATACACTTTAATGTGTGAACGTTTCTGCTAGCTGTGATGCTTTCCTTCTATTTTGCACCATATATGTAAATGGCACAATGGTGCATGTTGGACGTTGGTAGCCGAATGTTAGAGGTAGATATTTCTAGCTGGAATAGTTTATTTTTGCCACAAAAAACCCTATTCATAAAAGCATTAAAGGGATTATTTTAGAATGCTTTCAAATATATTCTTCATTCTTTTGAAATATTTTCTTCGCCATGAGAGAGCGTTCATTTCTTTTTATACTTGTCAATTAATCTTTAGTTGAAGCTGGAATTTGAAATCGAAATTTTAAGGTGGATGTACGCACCTATTCAAAGGACCAACTCTCACTACTGATGCCCAAAACGCATCTTCGGTGATAACTAGGGTCCAAAATGGACTGCGGTTTCAGGATTAAAGTTTATCCCGAGGAACTTAGTTTTTGAAAATAACACAAACCAGCACTCAGAATATATATGCCGCTCATTGTACCGATTCTATGTCTTTCCGATCTACGAATAAATCGGAACATTTTTATTAAAGGACTTTGAAATTTGAAAAATACGACTACTTACTTCAAAAAATTATATAAAAAATTTAGTGGAACGTAGAAAAATAGTATGGATATAAAATTAAGAAGAAAATTTGTTAGAATTAACGCAGATAAATTTTTTTGGTGCATAAGGACGAGTAGGTCTTTAAAATGTTCTTTTAAAATTGTATGCCTGAATAAACTTGCCATTTTGCAATACTTAAGTTAAAAAATTATGTTAAGGACTAATAAAATAATGTTAAAGACTAATATACACTCACCATATCCTCGATTTTCGTCCTCCTAACTCTATAAGCTTAAACAAATTAAATTAATTAAAACGGTATTTTCGATACCTATACGTCCTTGTGAGCCAAAGTTTATATTTTTTTAAATCTACAAAATCTTCTCGTTCATTTGGTAACCATATTGTTATTCTACATTGTACTGATTTTTTTAGATAACATTTAGAAATAACTATATTTTCGAAACTACAAAGTCCTTTGAAAAAATCCCGAGGTCAGAGAAGAATACCAAAAACGCAATTCTCCTTTATTTCGCCCATAGTTTTGCGAAATTTTTTTCGCACGGTGTAAATGGCTGTTAAAGAGTTGAGGTGTTCGTTTCATGCCTAATCCGTGCAAAAGCGGAACGGAAGCCCAAGATGGCACTAGTCGTTAATAACAGATGATAACCAAAGTCCTATCTGCTCAATGAAAGCAGTTTTGCCCAACTGCTTCCGCTCGAATATTTTCAGTCATTGCTTTGTGAAGTATTCACCAAACTTCTGGCGTCGATGGCCGAACGCGGAGCTGCTACATATACTCGCGAACGGTCTGAGCCAGCTCTAGCGAAATTTCTAGATGTCTATTACCAGGTACTCCTGTCACTACAGTAACGTAAACTCCTACCTCTGCACCTATTTTCCACCAAAAAATCCCAAAGAAAGAGGCAAAGAAGAAATGCTCAGAAGTCTATAATTTTGAGAGGATATACGAGAAAAAAATCTGTAGATAGAACGAACAGGTATTGAAAAATTCCTTTAAATTTATTTTATTTTTTAAGCAAATAAACTTAAAGGGACGAAATTCGAGGATGTCGTCACATGCACTATAGTTCTTAGCTTATAATTTTTTCAAAAATAAAAATTTTAAATTCTCAAGGATATGCAAGGATAAAATTTTAAAAGGACATTTTTCATACCTATCAACTTTTTCAATTCTATAGAGTGTTCCCTTAATTCTGATACCCATTACTCATTAGTGGTAACTAATTAGTCACCAGTCATAAATCATGACCCATAATCATTAGTCATAAGTTATAAGTCGACATTCAATACTCGTAAATCATTTGTCGTTATTCGGTAGTCATAGATCACTAATCATTTGTCATTAGTTGCCAGCTTTTAGTCGTTAGTCGTTTGTTACTATGGTTTTCATTTTTTTCGAACCCATCTCGAATGTATTTCCAATATACTATGAACTAGGGCTGTGCGATTAATTGATTACTCAAAATTTTAATTAATCATAAAGTAAATAACTCAATTATTCGATTAATTGGAAATTATGATTACTCAAAAGTTCAGTTACTCGAGAAATCAAGATTTTTGACTAACCAAAAATAAAAATATTTGAGTAATTTGCTTTATGATTAATCAACATTTCGAGTAAAATGAGTAACAACATTTCAACTCTTTACATATGTATAAAGTAGTTAAAGTTCCTTGATACTTTGAAAACAACGTTCCTGTTTTCAAAAATTAAAACGAAAAATTTTTTCATATACAGAATGTAAAAAAGAAAATAAGCATTTTCCAAAGTAAACTCTTTTAACGAGCAAATTTATTTTTTTGAGTAATCATATTTCTAGTAACTCGATTAATCATTGTTTTGAGTAATCAAAATCTTGATTACTCGAGTAATTGATTAACCGAATAATTGATTAACCAACTTGCTCGAGTAACCGATGTGCGATTAAGCCCTACTATGAACGTTGGAAAACTAAGGTTGGTTATGAGTTCATTGTCAGTTCGATATGCATAATGGATATCGAAGATCGATAACGTTCGGGTACATATGTCAGCACACAAACTCACCTACAAATACACACATAGATACCTAAATAGGTTTATGATTCCAACTGAACCAGTTGATTTGTATAAAACAGATCTTTTGAGTAAACATGTTGACGTGAAAATTTAAATAATATATTTTTTTTTTATTTGCGCATACAAATACACGGTGAAGTATGCATGAATTATTACTTTGAAATTCATGAATGTGACGTTGACGATATTAGCTGCATACATATCTACATTTATTAAAAAAAAAAATTACGTTTTATTTTATTGCATTTTAATTGCTGTCACTGTCAGCAGCCATTATTCACAAAAAGTGTCGTTTTTGAATCTAATAAAAAAGTAGTGAGAATTTCATAATAGTTAGTGCTGAGCTGTTTACTTGTCAACCAAATTGCGAAATTTTTTAGCAAAATGCCCTGACAGCGTTAACTCAAATATTTTTTTTTTACATAAAACAAGTATGCATGCATATGTAAATAAATTAAAACGCATGACCAAAATGTAGTTAGCATACGGCGAATTAGTATACATATTTACATAACAAATATGAAAAAATACAAGCAGCAAGAATATGGTTAAAAAAATCTGAAATTAGGAAAAATTTTACAGTGAAGTAGGTAAAGTTTTTAGGAAATATGTAGGAAAAAAAGGGAAACATTAAGAGTTGCAGGTATGTGTTTAGTATTTGCTTCATTATCAAAATAATATACACACATTTATATGTATATACACTAGGCGACAAATGAAAGTGTACACCTTGTTCTAATATAATATTCACTTTTATTTTCGTTAACAATTTTTTGCATAAATTATTTATGAAGATATAGCTCATTCCATAGTATAAATATATCAAAGTTCAGCACCCTATATAAAGTTCACAAAAAATCAAAAAATTGTTATCAAAATTCCAACTTTTTATACAGAATTTCTAGAAAATCTTCGAGCATGCAATTTTGTAGCCCATTCAAGTTTTAGTCAAGTGCAAGTTTCCAACGGATAAAAAATCGCGTTGATTTTTGATAAGTATATATATTCTTTTTTTTGGCTGGTTTGGCGGTTTTTTTTTATATAAACAGTGCAATTTACAAACCTGGCGTTGACTTTTTTTAAATTTTGTTGCTAACGGTCTTCCGCATTTTATTTCATAACAAATTCATGCTTACATGTAAAAAAGTACAAAAATCCGTCACCAAAAAAAAAAGAAAAATCAACGGGAACTTTTTAGTCGTTTGAAACTTGCATTTCATTGAACTAAAATTTAATGGGCAAAACCGCATATTTGCAAATTTTCTAGAAACTCTGAATGAAAAGTTGAAATTTTTGATACAAATTCTTTTAATTTTTGTGAACTTTATATAAAGTGAATGAACTACATTTTCATAAATAATAAATGCAAAAAATGTTTCATGAAACTAATTGTGAATATTATATTAGAACAAAGTGTAGACTTTCATCTGTCGCCTAGTGTATGTCGCGATAGTAGCAGCAATTTTATATACTTCAAAGGACCATGTGGACCACTCTTTTGAATTTCTTTCGTGTGTAGATTTGCTATACAAATGCCAATGATGCACTTTTTCCTCTACCGAAACGAAAATGAGAAAACTCAGCGTCAGAAGTGTATGAATATAAAAACTACTTATGACTACTACACACTATTTCAGCCACTTATTATTTTGATGGAAAATATGCTATAAATATATATAGGACAAAAATTTAACAACATAAGTGTGCAGCTATACTTACATAAATATGTATACCAGCAAGCATTTGGAAGATTATTCGGCGAGTTACGGCATTCCCGAGTCCTTTAAAAGTCGCAAAGAAGAATATTTGGGAACCTTTTCTAATACTTCCAAGCGATTAAAGAGACTTAATGGGGCAACTAAACGTTGTGGTATGAAACGGCCATTATCGACACAAACAAAAAGTATGTATGTAAGTCACCAGATGCCTGCTTTTTCAAATCCAATATGAGTCGTTTTCTAATCACTGCTGCGGCTTGCCTTATAGCACCGTGTGAAAGTAAATTTTGCACACACAAAAAAAAATAATACATTCAATTCATAGTTCTTCACTTTTTACTTCTCAAACAAACATTTCTAAATAAATGTATTTTTTTATTATTTTTCGGTTTTTGTCTTTTTTAGTGCCTTCTTTTACCTTTTTTTTGCGTATTCTAATGCCTTTTCCTGCCTATTTTGCTATTTTATTTTGCCTTTTTTGCCTATTTCGTTTTTTTGTTTTGCCTTTTTTATAAGTTTTTAGGTCCTAAAAATCCATTCCCTGTTAATTACTTTATTCGTGTGTTTGGAATTTTTTGTATTATTTTATTAAGATGCATTCGCCATGGTGTTTCACTTTTGGCTCGCAAGAGAGCTCGCTGCTGCAATTGGTTGCACTGTAAAAAGACTTCATTGCGAGTCGCTTATGATTGAAAGTGTCTGCTGGGTATATGTATGTATGTACATTAGGGTGCCATCAAAAAAACATAAAGTCGGAATTTTAATGCCGTCATTCCCTAATATTGTTCCATAACAAAAAAATATACCCCTTTTTTCATTTGAAACCAAAAAATATTCAGATAGTGTTCAAAGCAATAACTTGACATTGCATGCCAAGTATTTTACAGTGAAAAATCGCTAGGTTAGGCTATTTTGTCAAAGGTGTTGCTCATTTTCTCCATACGAAAAAATCGTCGAACTACATACTTTGTATGGAATAAAAAGTCTGACAACGTCAACAAAGAAAAATTGCAAAAAATCAACAGCAAGTCGGAGCTACTTTAAACTTTCACTTTATTGCTTTAAAATTAAATGCGCTAGAAAGCTGCATACTCAAAATATTTCTAAAAAATCTAATTAAAAAGCACGAATTTTTATAATGTACTATATTGTTATAAACAAATAATTAAAATTTAAAACAAATATTAAAATAAATAATCAAATTTTTCAATAAGTGAGTTTCGTTAACTAATGATAAACACTTCATTTTGGCCCATAAACGAACACTTAAACAATTAATAAGATAAATTAGGTTTTTCCTCCAGGTCTCCACCTTCTTCTATATTGTTTATTGTACTCCTTAATTCACTCGTTAGAGCACAAGAAAATAGCAATTACAATACTATCTTAAATATGACGAACAAGAATATAAAATATAGTACATTATTCTCCATTTGGAAAATTTGTCAACTTCTAATCCCTGTTTAATAAGGATTACGTTTTCATAATCACTGGAAAATTCTCTATTTGATTTGCCGAAAGCTTTCATGAAATTTTTAATATTTGCAACATTTTTTCAGCATAGGCGCCATGCAGCGCTTGTCATGGCGTATGAGCAACTTTTGAGTATCAACTAAAAATAAACTAGTCGAAGTGAAATTCAAATTCATGCTAGTCGATATGCACGATACATATACGGTACTTCGCAAAACATAAACAAAGCCAAAAAAAAAATTCAAAAATTCCAAAAAAATATGAATTTTCCTACAACCAGTAACGTGCCCTTTAACTACTTGTTGCTCTTAAAATGAAATGTAAATTTACCGCATACTGCGCAAAATTTTACCCATACATCCAATATTACGTAGTTTCATAGTTCATATTTCTACCTTATTACTATTATTATTATTATTGTACTATATGGATGTAGTATATTTTAGCATAAGAACAAAGCAAAATTGTTGAAATTAGTTCGGCCCATCATTTCAGGTGAACATCCGGAGGCGATGCAAACCGGCTCATCCGGCTGTCAGTTTAGTTGGCTAACAATTTTCCTGCTCGTCGCTTTGGTGTTGTGCTATCAGCAGCAAAATTTGGCAATGCAAGCAACAAGCGCAGTGGTGGGTGTAGCGATCAGCACAAAGGCAACCGAAATGGCAACAAAATCGCCTGTATTACCGGTAGCAGGAGCAGCACAAGCAGCACCAACAAATAGTAGTGAATTGAGGCAGAATGACATAAAAGCAACAACTGCGACAACAACCAAAACAACAACAAACTCACCAACAACCGAAGCCCAAACAGCAATCGACAATCTATTGCTGCATGGAAAACTAGCAATAAATAATACAATAGCACTAACAACAACGATATCCGCAGTGCCCAATAAAACAATGGCTGGCAAAGCCATAACAACTACAACAAGCGCACAAAAAGCAACAGACGCATATGTGGCATATGAGCTAAGGCCAATGCAAAACATGCTGCCCGGAGGCACTCAGCGCAGTAAATGCATGACAGCAGCAACAACAACAACAACAACAACATTAACAAACATTTCCACAACCATAGCAACAAGTTCGAGAGCGGCGAGCGCAATAAGCCCAATAAAAGCGGCGCTTGCGACTACTATCAGCAGACACAGAATTACAAAAACTACAACAAAAAATTGTAGCAGCACAACGAATATGCCCACCAGTTCAACAATTGCCAGCAGCCATAATCCAGCCAACAATTCGCACTTCAAAGTCCAACTAACGCAAAGTAGTTACAGCCGAGGCAATATTAGCAGGCCGACTAGCACTAAGCGCAAAATCAACTGCAATGAAATGAGCAGAAGCAGCAGCAGCAGCAACAACAATAAAAACATGAGCAACAGCAAACGCAACAACAACAATAGCAGTAGTAGTAGTAGTAGCAGCACTGTGGGCGTACGCATACTAACACCCGCTAAAGATACCAACCGCTGCAATGAAGCAGAAGTAGCAAACAGCAGCTGCCAGACAGCGTGTCACTACAAGCGCGTTGCAGCAGTCAGATGATGCGTCGTCGAAAATAGGCAGTTGCAGTGGCAGTGGCAGCAATGGTAATGGAAAATTTTGAATTTTCAAAACTTAGCAGCTATGCTGTGCGGTGGTGGAGTAGGTGGGGCGGCTTTTTTAAAGTACATACGTTGCACTTTAAGCTGTCTTTTACTCACACACCAGCGCTGGCTACAACTGTGTTTGTAAGTACATACATGGTAGGCTGTTTAGCGGATTCCATGTAAATGTAACTACATACATACAACTTTTTGCCACAGCCATAAAGCGATAGATACTTGCAAAGACGCTTTGGTGTTTTATGTAGGAAATTTTTGAGGTGATTTTAGTTTTACTTTCCAGATTGCAAGATGCAAGTGTATAAATTTAAAAAAAAAATAAATAAAATAAAATTTAATTTAAGAAAACACAATACGCTAGTAAAAACTAGAGAATTCTAGAGATATTTTAATTTTTCTTACGAACTTGTCTAAAAAACAGTACAGTGTGCTCTTGTACATAAGGGCACTGTTTGTTTGGAATAAGATCTTGTAATTTAAATTAGAACTTAGCAGAAAGTGTAAGAAATAAAAGTAATAAAGAAAAAATTTAAATAAACATAGGTTACCAAAGTAGATTAACCAAGGTACTCAACTATAAGATAAATATTACTATGATTTAAGCGCCTATAAGTTTACTCCAAATTTAAATCTCAATGCGTGAATACCGAAAGTTATAAGTATTTTTTTTTTTGAAAAATACGATTATTTATTATTGTTTATTAAAGGCCTGCAAATGCAATTGCTAGTTCATACCATGTCGCTCATACATGCACGGGAAAAATTGTTTGCAAACTTCGATTACGGTAAAATTTATTAAACAACTGTCTAATTAAAAATCAATATATACAGTGACTCAAACAAATGACCGTGTGTTGATTTTTTTTTATAATCGTAATGTTTTTCAAGCTAAATTTTTTTTTCTATAAAAATACCGTCAAGCTTTAACCAAAACCATATAAATCACAATTTTAAATATTTTACAAAATTTAGAAAAATTCAAAAAATGTTCATCAAACATTTAACTATTGAACCTGAATCTTTAGCATGAAACTCTTATGAAATAAAATGCGGCAGACCGTTCGTAACAAAATTTCAAAAAATCAACGCCAGTTTTTGTAAATTGCACGTGTTTTACAAAAAAAAAAAAAAAAAAATCAACGCGATTTTTTGCTCGATTAAAACTTGCACTTCAGTAGACTGCATACCCAAAAATATTCTAAAGATTCAGAATAAAGAGTCAAAATTTTGATTAACATTTTTTTAATCATCCTAAATTTTTATAAATTTTGAAACTGTGATTTATGCTTCGACGGTAATTGGTGGAAATTCGATGGATTCTTGTAATTTCATGTTTCGGTTTTCATGTTATAACAGAATAATTACACTGTTCTACACTTCAAAATACCTGCGTTTGTTTCTGTTGTTACTTTTCTGATGGGTACATGATGATTTTTTTAAATATTTGGTAGGCTTTTAGAGTTTAAAGATTTTTTGTTATTTTTTCATAAAAATATGGTTCATACATTAACCATATAAATCAGACTTTCAAACTTTATATAGAGCTTAGAAAAATTAAAAAAAAATCATTAAAGTTTTGAGCTTTTTAATCTGATTTTTCAGATTTTTTTTTTTTAGAATGCAGTGTTGTAAATTTAATAATTTTATTACAAGTTTTAAGCTGTTTCAAAATCGCGTTGATTTTTGAGATACAAAACTGAATTTCTTATGGAAGGAAATTCTTATGACCATTTGCACAGAAAATTTAAAAAAAATCAACGCCAGTTTTTAAAAATTGCACATCTTATATGAATAAAAACCGCAAAAGCCGTCAGCAAAAAAAAAAGAAAATCAAAATTAACACCATTTTACGGCCGCTAAAAACTTACACTTTATTATAATAAAATTTGTTAACTTTACAAAACTGCATACTCAAAAAACTAAAAAAAAAATTGATTAAAAAGCTCGAATTTTTTATTAAAATTTGTTAATTTTTCTAAGCTCTGTAAAAACTATTGAAACTTTATTTATATGGGCTTTGCTTATTTTTGGCTACTTGATGGGTGATGCCTACTTACTTCTCCAGAGAAGCTGACATTTTACCACTCGGTTTTTTGTTAAGGGAATTGGTCTTTGAAACTCTTGCTTCATTGCACCCGCGTAATGGTACAAGTGTTGGTAGAAACAGTTAAACCGACTGTAACTTCGTTGTAAACTTGTTTGGCCTTAAGACGCGGTCCCTATAGATGTTATGTATACATAGATGTCACCACCATTCGCGGAAAAAATTTGTGATCTGCTAAAACAAAGATCCATTGTTACCCGTTAGGGCTCAGTAGCTACAGAGGTCATCCAATATCAGTTTGGGACTTGGTTTTATGAAGATCCACAGCCTGGCCGATCTCTACAATACACCGTAGAGCGGCAACTTGGTTTTTCTTAAAAATTAAAAGGAAAAAAGTCAAATTTTCTCGGAGATTGATATATTGATGAACCCTAGTCTTAACAACCAAATATTTTTACATTAACGACCAACCAAATGTAGCCCAAAATAAATATACACACTAGATCTTAATTGATTTAGAAATAGTCGCTACCAGAGTTCAGAAAAAAAATTAAAATGAAAAAAGCAAAATTTCGACCCCTAAAAATTTGTATACAATTTTCTAATTTTCATGCTGTTGATATGCTCGATACTGTGTATCGTTACCTTAATACAGAGCGGAAAATTTTTGTCTCTTTATATTTACTGTATTTACAGAACTTTATGAAAACTAAATTTGGGAATTTCTTCAAAATCTTGGGTTTCAGTAAACACTGAAACTAATTGATTGATGTAGTAGAAGTGTTAAAATTCTACTAGACCTTTATTCAGTCATTTATCAACCTTTGTACAAAGCTGAATTTCGAAAGAAAATCTATATTAAGGTAACGATATAAGCCTAAAAGCGGATAAATAATTTCACAAAGAAAAACTTGCATACACACGTATATGCGTGAGGGCCAACAAGTTTGCGAAATGAGGCGAATGGATATGAAATTATAGCACTTATACTACTGTAGCGGTCGCCATAAAAAATACAATAGACATACATCTATTTAACTATATTTTCATTTCCACCTCTACCCTCTTTATTTGCAGTTATCAGAATTTAGTCATAAATAAAAAGATATCACGCCTTTCTAGGGCAAAAAAGGCAGATAAACACTAAATATTTGCTTAATAATTCTAATTACCGAAAGTGATTATTGCAAAAAGCGATAATTAACTCGAATGAGTACACTTATAATTTTTTCATACGAAAATGTTTCTACTGAATTCAAGTCTGTAACAATAAAAACGCAGGCGCGGCAGTAGCGAAGTGAATAGATTTCCGCGCTACTAGCCGATATCACCAAGGCTCAATTCCTAGCACATGCAAGAGAAGCCTTTTCTTTTTTCTAAGTGCAGTCACCTTTCAGCAGCCATGGCAAAGCTTTGAGCTTTCTTCTGGCATGAAAAAGCTTCTCAAATCCAACTGCGTTATGTCTAGTTGAGTGTCAACATCAAGACGCATACTACCAGTAGGAGAATAAGCTCGGCCCAAACCACAACCAAGCGCAAATACTTTTTTAATAACGTTTTTTTTTTAATTAAATGCTTAGCTTGTGTTAACAAGGCATCTGAATTGGAATGATTTGATTGGTAATCAAATTGTGTCTAAAAATAAAATGTTTTCAAATTTTAAAATGCCCGATTAACAAATTTTGCAAATATTTCTGCAAAGCGATAAATATGAGCGGATTTAAAAATATGCGTTTAAATTATTAATTAATAGCATAGCATTGACGTACACTTGCATACATATGTAAAGGTATATGTGAAGTTTTTGTTTTCCATAGACAATTTTTTAATGCAAATACTTCCGCTTGGCAGAATTTTGTTTAACTTTTAATTATATTCATTTGTATTTTCAGTTTTTGTATAGCACTTTAATAAAATATTAACAGCAATTAATTACAACAATACGCACATAATCACTAGCTGTTAACCATTAATATTTACTGTATGCGATTTAAGGTTCTTGAAACGATTTATTAAAACTAAAGTTATTTGAAGCTGATTTTACTAATTAGTTTACCAAAATTTTAATTACCATAGTTTTTGTTCTAGGCAGTTCGTTCGGTTAGTTAGCAGTACCAGCTCTTGACGAATAAAAGAGAATCATTGTGCGAACAATTCGATAGTTTCTCTATTCAAATAGAAACCTAGCATATTTATATTCGCAAAAAAAAAAAAGTTTGGATGGGTCAATTCCCATCGCACTTATGAGAGCCTTAATTCAGATTTCTTTCAAAGTAAAATATCTAGAAGTAAAATTATATGTTAAAATTTCACGCAACCCCGACGTTGAGTATCCTTTAATAATACATAAACAGGGCCAGCAACTGTCTTTGAACTCACTACAGTCTTTAGTAAGACAATTTTCAATTCTGGCAACCACCATGAAAGCTCTTTACTGTCTTTCGAAGGACTTACTGAAAGATCTGTTAATGCATTATGCGGTTCCCCTTCTAGCAATAATTTTTCTTTAAATTAATTTAAGCTAAAAAGAAAGTATTCTTTTCTCTTTTTCTTTTTAAGACTATAAAACCAAACAAATAAAAGAAAATTAAATTGAGAAGAAAAAATGAAGCAAAACCAAATAAAAAAAAAATATTTAAAAATTTAAAAAATATTAAAAAAGATTTAAAAAAAAAGATATCTAAAAATTTAATTAGAAACAAACTAAATCAAAAAAGGAGTCAAATATGACTAACAAATTATATACAGTTACAAAAAAAACTATTTTCATTTTTAAAAATCTAAAAATCAAAAGAAAATTTTATTGAAAAACAAAAAAAAATTATATAACGATGAGTTAATGATCAGTTTCAAAATTATGTTTTTATTGTTAGTTTGTACTAGGCTAATTTGATCAATTTGGCTTATGTGCAAGAAAAAACTTTCTTCACTTTGCTGCCCG